TCTTGCTCTTGTCACCCAGGCTGGAGTGCAATGGCGCAATCTCGGCTCACTGCAACCTCCACCTCCTGGGTTCAAGAGATTCTCCTGCCTCAGCCCCTGAGTAGCTGAGACTACAGGCATGCACCACCATGCCTGGCTAATTTTCATATTTTTAGTAGAGATGGGGTTTCACCATGTTGGCCAAGCTGGTCTCGAACTCCTGACCTTAGGTAATCCATCCTCCTTAGCCTCCCAAAGTGCTGGGATTACAGGTGTGAGTCACTGCGCCCGGCCAAGGATTTATTTTCATGAATGAAACAACATTAGGAATCTGGGTCGATCTCACATGCTGAAAGCCAAAACCCTTAGTTGCTCCTGCTTCTTGACTCTGGGGTGCCCACTATCTCCAAGCCTGTAAGTGCAGAGCCTGGCTGGCCTGGAAGAGAGGTTTGAGTGACATGAGCTACCTACTGGCTGTGCCTGACTGTTTCCCCTTTTTCTTCCCCAGGCTTGTTAGAGTGCTGTGCAAGATGTCTGGTAGGGGCCCCCTTTGCTTCCCTGGTGGCCACTGGATTGTGTTTCTTTGGGGTGGCACTGTTCTGTGGCTGTGGACATGAAGCCCTCACTGGTACAGAAAAGCTAATTGAGACCTATTTCTCCAAAAACTACCAGGACTATGAGTATCTCATCAATGTGTAAGTACTTGCCCTCCCACACAGACCTATCTTTTTTTTTCCCTCTCTCCATCCTGGAGATACAGTACTCTAATATCTAATAACTAGGGGATGGGTGGAGCCAGACAGGATCCCTGAGTCTTCCCTCTGTGAAGATTTCTCCTGTTCCACGTCCAAAGCCTCAAATGTGGGGAAAGTGCCAGATTCAGAAAGGAGAGGTCTGCCTGCCTGCCTGCCTGCCAGCCTCTGCCAGCCCACTTGTTTTCTCACACGTGTTCTGACTTCTGCTAGGTGTGGTTAATGTTGCCCAAGTTGGAGCCTCCACAGTGGTAGGTATGGAGAACCCAAGGGAGGCACTAAGCCTCTCCTGTTCCTAGAACAACTTAGGCTCCTGTTCCTTTACCCACCTTTCTTCTTACCTAGCTCCCCACTCCTGTGAGGTGGCATGTCTGAAGGGTCAGGCAGGGAGAGCAGGGCCCTGGTTCTCCAGTCACAGGGTAAGCAAGATGTGGCGGGAAGATCATATGTTTCCGGTCACATACACCCTGTCTTCACTTATTTCAAAAAAGATAAGGTAAAAGTATGCGGGAGGAACCTGGTGATTCCTCTAGAGAATCCCTAGCTTTGTTAAGGTGCCTGCACTGGTGTATACCTCATTTATGTGGGTAAAGGAGCTGGGTCTTCAATTAATAAGATTCATTGGTCTCTTTCATCTCCCTGTTAATGCAGGATCCATGCCTTCCAGTATGTCATCTATGGAACTGCCTCTTTCTTCTTCCTTTATGGGGCCCTCCTGCTGGCTGAGGGCTTCTACACCACCGGCGCAGTCAGGCAGATCTTTGGCGACTACAAGACCACCATCTGCGGCAAGGGCCTGAGCGCAACGGTAACAGGGGGCCAGAAGGGGAGGGGTTCCAGAGGCCAACATCAAGCTCATTCTTTGGAGCGGGTGTGTCATTGTTTGGGAAAATGGCTAGGACATCCCGACAAGGTGATCATCCTCAGGATTTTGTGGCAATAACAAGGGGTGGGGGAAAATTGGGCGTGAGTCTGTGGCCTCGTCCCCACCCAAGGCTGGGTCCTCTCTAGGGGCCTGGCACTTGAGTGAGGAAGCGATGGCAGCAGCCGAACGAGAAGATCAGGAAGAACGTGGTGCCCAGCTGGCTTAGCCTCACCTTTCAAAGGTTCCCTAAGCAAATTTCTTCTCAAAATGGAAAGCATGAGTTTTGTAGGATGCTTTGTACAGTCAGACCATTTCTAAGCCATCTGTTGGTATCCCTTTACTCCCTTCCTAGTAGGGACCACAAGAGTGGATATAACTGGACAAGAGTCTAAAATACTGCTCGTGAGATTGAGACTTGGGCACCTGATCTGAGAAGTAGGATCGATAATAAAAATTCAATAATGGACTCCAAGGTGAAATTTACCATATTCTGGGATCCTGCACTGTTGGAGGTCCCAGAGGGAATTGGAGTAGATCTGCATGTTGAATGTTTTATCATTGATTGAGGGTTATCTATGCTTTGAGTGGGGTGCACATTGGTTTTCAGTATCTGGAGTTAAAGATCCTTTGGGGGCTGAACATGTGTGGTTTCTAGCAATGTCTTTTTGTGGCCAGCAGTTAGCTTAGAAAGGTTTTGTATCTGAAATTTTAATCTCCTATTGGCTTTGTTCAATGACTAGGGAACAAAAATGTTCCTGTGGCAAGGAACATTTTCTAAGCTCAGCCTAAGGCACAAAACGGCACGACTTTCTTTCAAGATCTGTTTTGATTTCTTTACACCTTTTCTGCCCAGAAACATCCCCTGAAGCCTCTCTAACCCAGGGATCCTCCTCACTCCTCCCCTACCCTTTCCCCCCACCCTCCGTCACACTTGGGACCAGTTCTCTAGTAGATACTGCCAATGACCCTTGGCAGAGGTGCCCTGCTCACTAATTTAATTGGGGAGAGCCCTGGAATCTGGTTTTAATGTCTGGCACATGCCAGTCCAGGATCTCCCAGTTTGTGTTTCTACATCTGCAGACTGATACTGATTTCTAACCACCCCATGTCAATCATTTTAGTTTGTGGGCATCACCTATGCCCTGACCGTTGTGTGGCTCCTGGTGTTTGCCTGCTCTGCTATACCTGTGTACATTTACTTCAACACCTGGACCACCTGCCAGTCTATTGCCTTCCCCAGCAAGACCTCTGCCAGTATAGGCAGTCTCTGTGCTGATGCCAGAATGTACGGTGAGTTAGGGCATGGGTGCTTTGGCTCTCCTACCCACTATGGAAGCACAATATATTTGGTTATTTTCTTAGTGTAAGGAGGGTGGTGATTATGAGAAAAAGATAAGATGATGAATGCTTGGGTCTTAGCTTATTAATCCTTCCCTACTAAACCAGGTTTATTCCCTGGGAAGGGAACTTGAAGGTGATGGGAATTTTCTTGGCCATTCACGTTGGCCTACTCTAGTTAATTGCTGTTCTGAACCCCAAAGCAGCAAATTTCAGTAACAAACACAAGATTTAACCAGTGTTCAATACTGTCTTCTCTTTTTGTAAACCTGCAGAAAAGAGGATCCTGATTGTTGGTAGAATCCAACTTTATAGCCAGGATAATTAGAGATGGAAGAAGGGCTCTGGGGGAAAGTCCCCACGTGGCCCCATAACTCCATAAAGCTTCCCCTGGTTGACTTTTGTGTCTTACTTAGGTGTTCTCCCATGGAATTCTTTCCCTGGCAAGGTTTGTGGCTCGAACCTTCTGTCCATCTGCAAAACAGCTGAGGTGAGTGGGTTATTCGGGTTATTTTACAACAGAGTGGGTAATACCATACAAATTATACCCATAGCCTTCAATTTCAAGGACTAAAAGTTTCTCTTTGCTGGATTTTGAATTACCAGATTGCCTTCTACAAAATATTGGCTAAGTATGCCTGAGCCAATGAGCATAGAAGGTAAAACACCTGTTTTCCCTAGAGCCACATAGAAAGACTTCCCGTCTTAAAAGAGAAGTTTGTAGTTTTAGGTAAAGATAGAGCCTAATGGCAAAATCCCCTAGATGAACATTTTCATTCCTTTAGTTAAACACCATATCAAGAAAATGAGCTGTACACAGAGACATTCATAGGTTTTATAAAAACATTTTCAGTTTGGAACTTTATCTCAAATGAGAGGTAAAATAAGTACAATTGAAAAGGAAAGCACTGTATTGAGAATAGATATTATATAGAAATGAGTCAGGGGACTAAAATAAGCCCTGGGGAGAAACGCAGTAAATTATTTCTTTGAAAACAAAATGTTGACTTTAAATTTTGGGCCCCTAGGCACAACTGTAGGGAACCAGTTAGTTATTTGGGAGCGCTGTACTATTTCATGAGTATTCTGTGTTCTGGGTGTTATGGGGCCAGGTGCTATGATGTACACTGAAGACTGGGAGGCCCACACTTAGGGAAGTGAAAACTTAGTTAGAGATGTAGAATTTGCATACAAGAAAGGTATCAACACATTCAGAAAGCTGTATTCATGATTTACAGTGGGGCATATTATTACTGTTGCAAGAAACAGTTCTTCCTCTTGCATTTTCCCGCAGTTCCAAATGACCTTCCATCTGTTTATTGCTGCATTTGTGGGGGCTGCAGCTACATTGGTTTCCCTGGTGAGTTGACTTTGAATGATCTTGGCAAGTAAATAGGCCTGAGATAGTGTGGGTATAACTATTCCTAAAGGCAAGAAGATAGACTGCTTCCATCCTTGAAATGCTGGAGAGAAGCTTCTGGGAAGATAGCAAAGGGTAGAGGCTCTGTACTTATACTTGCATTGGCAAGGTGGAAAAACATAACAAATTAGATAGGAACAAGAAAAGTGGTATGAGGAAAGAGGAGGTAAGAGATTCATAGACACAAATGATAATATTTAATATGTATAGACCGTGTAATGTTGCCAAGTGCTTTGCAGTCATAAATTATGGTTAATTCTGAATACATTGTGATCAGATCAGTGACAAAACACTGAAACATGAAACATGACTTGCTATAGCCTGGAATTCTATATACTATCAATGTGAATCTACCTTGGATACTCGCCAATGGATTTAGTTACTCATGTGGAAATGCTGGGAGGACCTCCTAACATTATCAGAATTGTTATGACTATAATACAATGCTATGTCCCAGGTCTTGCTGATAGTGTTACAGTGGTCTGTGAATGTAGTGTGCTCATTGTGCAGATCAGAAACCTAAGGCACTGAAGGGCGAAGTGATTTATCTGAAGTCATTGTATAAACAGCGATCAGACAAGATGAGCTCACAGAATTCCTGGCCCCTACTGCTGAGGCTTCTATATAGACTTAAGTAATTTCTCACCTTGTAAAATTAATTGATTCATTAAGCAGGGGAGGGCTATACTGCATGATGTAGCTGTGTGTCTACAGCAAGCACCCTATGACTCCAAGTCACTCAGACATGTGGATGTGGCAAAGCCCAAATACTGTTCACTTCCCCGATGAAAACTCAGTGCCAGAACAGAGGTGTGGAATAAATCTTTATGATTTGATTCTTTGGGCCTGGGCCATTGGAAGGAAATGCATCAGAGACATTGGACTTCCAGTCAAGTGTATATGGAGAAAGCCAAGCCTGGGACGTACTGCTCTTTTTGAAGAACAGGGGTTTTTCCCTTTTTTAGTTATGATTTTATTTCATCCTTCCTCATTCCCAAAGGGATCTGAGGAGGGAGCGTTTTCTTTTCTACTCTCATTAACATTCTCTCTTCTGTTCCCTACAGCTCACCTTCATGATTGCTGCCACTTACAACTTTGCCGTCCTTAAACTCATGGGCCGAGGCACCAAGTTCTGATCCCCCGTAAAAATCCCCCTTTCTCTAATAGCGAGGCTCTAACCACGCAGCCAACAATACTGCGTCTCCCATCTTAACTCTTTGCCTTTGCCACTGACTGGCCCTCTTCTTACATGATGAGTGTAACAAGAAAGGAGAGTCTTGCAGTGATTAAGGTCTCTCTGTGGACTCTCCCCTCTTATGTACCTCTTTTAGTCATTTTGCTTCACAGCTGGTTCCTGCTAGAAATGGGAAATGCCTAAGAAGATGACTCCCCAACTGCAAGTCACAAAGGAATGGAGGCTCTAATTGAATTTTCAAGCATCTCCTGAGGATCAGAAAGTAATTTCTTCTCAAAGGGTGCTTCCACTGATGGAAACAAAGTGGAAGGAAAGATGCTCAGGTACAGAGAAGGAATGTCTTTGGTCTCCTTGCCATCTGTAGGGGCCAAATGTATTCTCTTTGGTGTACAAAACAGAGAACTCACTCTGGTCTCCCTATTACCACTGAAGATAGAAGAAAAAGGAATGTCAGAAAAACCAGTAAGAGCGTTTGCCCAAATCTGCCTATTGCAGCTGGGAGAAGGGGGTCAAAGCAAGGATCTTTCACCCACAGAAAGAGAGCACTGACCCCGGTGGCGATGGACTACCAAAGCCCTAATTCAGCCAACCTTACTTACAGCATAAGGGAGCGTAGTGTCTGTGTAGACGAAGGGGGCATCTGGCCTTACACCTCGTTAGAGAAGAGAAACAGGGTGTTGTCAGCATCTTTTTACTCCCTTCTCCTTGATAACAGCTACCATGACAACCCCATGGTTTCCAAGGAGCTGAGAATAGAAGGAAACTAGCTTACACGAAAACAGACTGGCCTAAGGAGCAGCAGTTGCTAGTGGCTAATGGTGTAACCTGAGATGGCCCTCTGGTAGACACAGGATAGATAACTCTTTGGATAGCATGTCTTTTTTTCTGTTAATTAGTTGTGTACTCTGGCCTCTGTCATATCTTCACAATGGTGCTCTTTTCATGGGGTATTATCCATTTAGTCATCGGAGGTGATTTGAAGATCTTGATGTGTTTTAGAATGGTGCACATTTTGTGTATTCCAATTTGTTTATTACTTATTTGGGGTTGCATCAGAAATGTCTGGAGAATAATTCTTTGAATATGACTCTTTTTTAAAATAGGAAAATTGGACATTAAGCATTAAAAATGATATTAAAAATTGGCTAGTTAGATGAACCTATTGCGATTTTCTACAAGTATTCTGCCTTTGCAGAAACAGATTTGGTGAATTTGAATCTTAATTTGAGTAATCTGTTTGATTGTTCTTTCTAGCTAATGGAAAATGATTTTACTTGCAATATTATCTTGGTGTGTTAAGAGTTAGGTTTAACATAAAGGTTATTTTCTCCTGGTATAGATCGCATAACAGAATGCACCAGTCATCAGCTATTCAGTTGGTAAGCTTCCAGGAAAAAGGACAGGCAGAAAGAGTTTGAAATCTGAATAGCTCCCAGATTTTAGTCTTTTCCTGTTTTTGTTAACTTTGGGTTTAAACAAAAGTCTGATTGGTTTTAATTGAAGGAAAGATTTGTACTACAGCTCTTTTGTTGTAAAGAGTTGTGTTGTTCTTTTCCCCCAACGTGGTTTCAGCAGTATTTAAGGAGATGTAAGACCTTTACAAAAAGATACTTGATACTTGTTTTCAAATCAGTGTGCATGATAAGCTTCCAGGCTGCACAGAGGGAGGAGAGGGAAAATGTTTTGTAAGAAACCAATCAAGATCAAGGACAGTGAAGTAATCCATACCTTGTGTTTTGTTTTGATTTAATAACATAACGAATAACCAACCCTTCCCTGAAAACCTCACATGCATACATACACATATATACACACACAAAGAGAGTTAATCAACTGAAAGTATTTCCTTCATTTCTGATATAGAATTGCAATTTTAACACACATAAAGGATAAACTTTTAGAAACTTATCTTACAAAGTGTATTTTATAAAATTAAAGAAAATAAAATTAAGAATGTTCTCAATCAAATATCGTGTCCTTGGTGTGAATTGTTCTATTTGACTTCACAATAAAAAGTTAATACTTGTACCTTGTTCAAGGAGCTCATTCATTTTTCAGGTCATCCAAGTCATTCTCATAACATTTCTCTGAAATAAATAGTAGATGAATAGATTACTTCTATTTTTATAGTTAAAGACACTAAGAAGTAGAGGCAAGGTAGTTTGCCCAAAGAAATCCAGTAAGTGCATGTCTGAGCTTGTGTTAGCATGCAAATATTGAAACAAATTTATTGCCTACTTAGGTTTATTTTCTCTTCAAAGTTGGGTTTCAGAGTGTTCAGAGTCAACTATGGCTACTTTGTTAATACCATAGTGGTGCCCCAGTCCCTGGTGCATTTAGATTTAGATTTAGGCTATTGTCACCTTCTCTAAATTGTTTGGATATTCCAGTAATGATCCCTTAGTACTTCATACTTGACTAATATTTAATTTTATTTGGATAGTACTGGTTGGAAGATTTCATGTTTAAAGGACAGAGCAGGTATGAAAAGGGCAATGTAAATGCAACAGGCTGCAGTAGGGCAGTACTAAAATAAATTAGTGACACCTACCACCCTGGTTGGCCAGTTCACTAGCCTACTGGAGACATAGCAGTAAAGCCCTTTCACAACCCTAGGTTAGAATTTGGCACCCTTGGATAGGACTCTGATGACCAGCCTAAAGAAATCTGACTTAAAATCAGCTGCAGATTCATTGCTCCATAGTTGCAGCTGGCAAATGATTGGAGAGAAAGGAATCTTTAGCTGGTGGGGTGACAAGTCAGTCATCAGTTAAGAAGCTCTGTTCTAAAGCAGTTTCAATTTAATTTCCTGATTTCTGCTTAACCACAATTAATATTCTGCAAGCCAGTCTGGTTGAATGACTTTAAGACAAAAAGAATAAAAATATGAGAAGGACTTATTTTGAGACACCGGCAAACAGGGACACAGCACCATATTTTGGAGAATTGATTCAGGGTGCTACAGAGTGAATGTATTTTTGCTTCAGAGGAACTGAAAGCCAGTTCCCAAGAGAGCTATGTTCTCCATCTGCCCTTATTTGGCTCTGCCCTCTGGGACGGATCTATAGATGGAGTTTCTAGGCTCTCAGAAGCTGAGAGCATCTCCAGTCTATGAATTGAGCCCATTGTTCTTAGCTCTCCCACACACCATAAACCTCCTTTTTTCTAACTGAAAGAGCTCTCTTTGTGCTTACATCAGCCAGAGATCAAGATGCAGCAGTATAAACAAGAAACATTTTCTTACAGCACCAGTTGTATTGCTTTTCCTGTCTTCAGGGTCAGTACTGAGTGCAGTTATGCAGAATGTGGAAGCTGCAGCTTTGTCCCGAGTAACATTCGTTCATTCCTTAATTCGTTCTGTGAACATTCATTGAGAAACTACTAAGTATTGTGTTAAACCCCAGGAAGTTCAAGTTTGGGGGAGGTGTGGGTAGAAAGGTGATCAAGACTTGATATTACACTCAATGATTTCTCTCAAATTCAGCCATAGCAGAAAGGCCTCCCAGGGTAAACTGGAGTGGAGGCAAGGAGTGTGCAAAAGGCAGTAGGACCCGCTGACTAAAGTGGGCATCTGAATTCTCCCCTCAGTATGTGGGAGAGGTGGGGGTTAAGAGCCTTGACTTCATGTGGCTCTGGATTTTTAGGGCCCTGATACAAACAAAACTTCAATTTAGAGTCCTGACAACTTGTGACTTGCTCTTTCTGTGTCACCCTGCTTCTTGCCTTACATGTGACAGCATTTATGCACACACTGGCACAATGCATGTGCATGCTTCCACCCACTCAATCATTTGGAGAGTCAGAGGGCACATGAATCAAGATTGATATAAACACAAGCTATTCAGCCTGGCCTTTTGTCTCTATCTAGGCTAAATCTAAGAAGCCAAGGAAGGATAATATAAGATACAAGGTATCAAAACTGCATTTGTACCCCCTAAATTTATACAACAACAACAAAAAAAAAGATACAAAGTCTTTCTCTGTTTGGATTTCCTTAACTGTGAACACAGGTGGTGTGTCTATTTTGACATTAACAGTTAACTTGATGAATATTAAGTAACAAAAGAAATATTCATTATTATATTTACAAAATCAATACTTGGCCATTCCTACATCGATAAGCAAATAAGGACTTCAAGTCAATATCTGTACATTGGGAAAGATTTTCCTTGTTCACTCATGTGTTTGAAAGAAGCAAACATGTTTGTTGTATTTGTTGTCTTACAAAGTTTGGTGTCTGTGTGCTCCTGTTCTGTGATTCTTGGATTGATTGACTTTATTCTAAAGGGAAAATATCACATAAGGTAATGAGTATTTTACTTGTTATGGATCAGTCCAAGGAAATCTATTCTTAACATTTTACTCAAACTGTCAAAAAATATTTATTTGATAAATTCTCTATGCCAAGTGTTATGCTAAGTGTCTGTGCTATAGTGGTGAATAAAAGGGATGGTCTCAGCCCTCATGGAGTTCAACTAAAGACAAAAAGGGGTAGGAAGGGAGACAGGGAACATGGTGAACAATGAGGTTAATATCCTCCAGAAACAGTGGAAAAGATAGAATCAGGGAGAAACTTGCACAGTCCCATAAGAAACAAAGAGTCATGTTAAAAAAAAAAAAAAGATAGAGATATGCAAGTCTGTATTTAGATAAATGGAATGGTATTTAGGATTGAAAAATGTTAAATAGGCTTGGACTATTTTGCTCCCCAATATGGAAAGTGACCCAGCTCCAGATTCCGAAGGAACTAGCTTCATGGATCTTCTATATATTATGTGAAAACCTACCTTTCAAAAATCAAAGAGGCAAACTACAAAGTGTGATGCTGACGGTTACAAATATTAAAACCAATCAAGCCAACTGATATTTGAAAACGTATAGATGGTTTTAATTCTAGCTGATGTTGAATTCACATGTAGACCAACTTTAGAAAACAATAGGGAGGCCAGGAGCTATGGCTCACTACTGTAATTTCAGCACTTTGGGAGGCCAAGGAGGGTGGATCACCTGAGGTCAGGAGTTTGAGACATGCCTGGCCAATGTGGTGAAACCCTGTCTCTACTAAAAATACAGAAATTAGCTGAGCATGGTGGCGGACACCTGTAATCCCAGTTACCTGGAAACTGAGGCAGAAGAATCACTTGAATCCGGGAGGTGGAGGTTGCAGTGAGCTGAGATGGCACCACTGCACTCCAGCCTAAGCGACGAGAGCAAAATTCCATCTCAAAAAACAAACAAAAAACCAAAAACAAACCCAAAAGGGAAATGTGACTCTTGCAATCAAAGCTTCCTTCCATGTCCCCAACATGTACCAGATAGAAATTTGGTGAAATCTCGTTTGACTTAAAATATGAAATCAGCCCACATTATTAAAAAAAAAAAAGTGAACAGAAACATAAGAATTCTCCTATATGCAGATGACATTATTATCACAAGCTCAGAGTGGTCTTAGCAAACAAACGGCTCAGCTAATTACTGCTAGGAAGAAAGTATACATATCAGCTTTCCTTAAAAAAAATTAGTCATTTTAAGTAGATGTTCCCAACTTCCTGTTGGTGAATAGTGTGAATAATTCCATAAAGCAGATACCTCAGGATATATTTTGCAGTGGGCTTACCTGAAAGGACAAAAGTAAATAACATTTCTCAAACTCCAGGCAATATATGGGTGCTTATGGAACTCCTGCGTATGTATTGTTTGTCTTTAATAGCTTAGCAAGTTACAACTACTTTAACATATTTGCAGGTTAAAAAATTTTAAGTCATGCTTTATGCTCTGTTTGTCTTGTTGTTAAAGAAAATCCAAAATAATTGTCTGGGCAGGGCGTGGTGGCTCACGCCTGTAATCCCAGCACTTTTTGAGGCCAAAGAGGGCATATCACTTGAGCTTGAGATCAGGAGTTCAAGACCAGCCTGGCCAACATGGCAAAACTAAAAATACAAAATTAGCCAGGCGTGGTGGTTCACACCTATAATTTCAGTGACTCAGGAGGCTGAGACACAAGAATGCTTGAGCCCAGGAGGCGGAGGTTGCAGTGTGCCGAGATTGTGCCACTGCACTCCAGTCCAGGCAACAGAGGAGAGATGTTCTCTCTAATAATAATAATAATAATAATAATAATGAAAATAACAATAAAAATAATTGCCTGAAGAGAATCTTGGTCCAGACCATAGGCAGCCTTTTACTTCCAACAATAACAGTTGCATTTTATCAAGTACTGTGTCTACAAAGTACTTTACACATCTTATCTCATTTCATCCTCACATCAGTCTTACAAGGCAGAAGCAACTATTATCCTTCAGTTCCATGCTGAAGCATGTGGCCTTGTTGGTCACATCAGTTTACACATGAGCATGTTAATCCTATCCTGGCTTAGCTGACTAGCAAAGCTGTAGAGATGAGCTGAATTCAGGTATTTGTCAGGGAGCAGAACCACCATCATTGTAGCTCAGTACTGTGAACAAAATTTCTCTGAAAAGGGGCTAAAAAGTGAGACCTCACCTCTACAAAAAAAAAAAAAAAATTTACTCCAGCATGGTACCTAGTGCCTGTAGTCCCAGCTACTCTGGAGGCTGAGGTAGGAGTACAGCTATAGCCCTGGAGGTTGCACCTGCAGTGAGCTGTGATTGCACCACTACACTCCATCCTGGGCAACAGATTGAGACCCTGTCTTGAATAAAAAACAAAACAAAATTATTAAAAATAAAAAGGAACTTGGAGAAAAGAGATTTTTTCTTTTACTTTTTTTGAAACAGGGTCTCACTCTGTTGCCCAGTCTGGAGTGCAGTGGCATAATCTTGGCTCACTACAGCCTTGACCTCCTGAGTTCAAGTGATCCTCTCACCTCAGCCTCCAGAGTAGCTGGGACTACAGGCGACTGCCACCATGCTCAGGGATAATTTTAAAATTTTTTTGTAGAGATGTTGTTTTGCCATGTTGCCCAGGCTGGTCTTGAATTCCTGGCCCAC